GCGTAAAACGGCGGATACCGGAAGTACGGTGTCGCGCTCGGCCCAATACCCGTATGTGTGTGTGAAAGAATACGAAATAGAACTGAGGTTACCTACTGTAACCCCAGCTTCTATGAGTAAATGGCGCAGGCCTCTAAGTGCGGGGCCCCACTGGCTCTACGAATAGCTGAAGAAAAGTTATTTTGTATGGGAGCAGAGTGCCGGTGTTGCAGTATAACTTGAGTCATGACAACTGGCGACATTCTATTATTTTCGTCATAGGAATCCGGGGCGTGTACATTGAGGACCCATTGTTGACTTACCAGGAAATAAACATGTCGATCGCCTCGTTTGTCGTTTACGTTCATCTTTTGCTATATCTGCCTTCCTACGATCACTTTGATGCACATTCAGTACTCGTATGTGAGGTTGTGGGTGAGAGGTGGATATCGTGACGCTTACAGGGAGGTATCGAACATTACAAAGTAGGTGACTGTGTGGATGCCTGTTCAAAACATAGCAAACTTGAATAAATCATTTAAATTATATATTTGTGTCCGACTTTCATTTGTACTTCGTTCTTAATGTGATGTATAGTAGCTTTGATAGCTGTCCATACCTTCAGACAGCCTAAAAGTAAAACACAAGTCGTTTATTCACAGCCCGAACGCTCATCGAGATGACTGGATCACTCATGACAAGTTGTGATCAGCTCCGAATAAATTGTGATATAGATGCTGTAGCTATTCTCCAGGGAGCACGTTTTTTTAATGAAATACCTGTATCCCTCATCACAACAAGACTCTACACTGTGCAGGAAAAACAATTACATACATGAAAATAACCTTGATGCATGGGAATGAAACACACAAACTATCTTCCGTGGCTATACTGATATCACAGTAACGGTCAACCACAGAAACGTAAGTCCAGCGGGGCACACGTTGAATACATGTAAAACATTTGTACAGCGTTCTTAATGTGATGTAGTAGCTTTGATAGCTGTCCATACCTTCAGACAGCCTCAAAGTAAAACACAAGTTGTTTATTCACAGCCCGAAAGCAGCATCGAGATGACTGGATCATCTGCAGTGTTGGGCAAGTTACTTCCAAAATGTAATACAGTACATTACTTATTACTGTCTTTTTTAAGTAATAGGCTACGTTACATTACAATATTACTGTCTCTGAAATGTAATGACTTACACTACTTTAGCCTACTTTTGAGTTACTTTACCAAAAGAGCATCAGGACTGTTTGAGGCATATGATAGCTATGTGATTAACATGATGATTCAGCCTCTATGGAGAGAGACATATGACAAGCATGATCATTTCTGACGTGGAGCTAATCTGAAGTAAACATTGAAGACTGCTTTCTATTCCTCCATCTTATGACTGTGTGACTCCCTCTCTTGGATATCAGCATGTGAAGGACACTGTTCAGGAACTAGTTGATGCTCTGTATGTGACGACTACTTCCATTCTGGAGAGGATCACAGATACATGGCTCCTGAGATTGAAGCTCAAGTCTGTGACGAGTGAGATTGTTCTAACAATTTCCAATAAAGGTTATTCTGAAACATAACTATCGCTGTTAACTTTCCTTCTATAACGGTAATGTAGGCCAAGAAAAACTTTGCATTGCATAATATTTAAACTTACATTCAGGCACTATAAATGAAGCCAAAAATATGTCAAGTTGGGGCTTAGCCCACCAAAAAGTGCATAGTTGCAACTTAGGCAGTTAAGCATTTTATATCAGTGGGTCCTCATGGTGCAACACGGAAGGCAGACAGAATTGCTTAGACACAGGTGTCACATGAAATGTAAATGTTCTGGAAACTTCCTTATAAAGCTTCAGCCTTTTTTATCTCATGAAGTCCCTAAGTGGCCAACACACTCTCACTCCCTAAGCGTCCAGGAGCGACGTTTAGTCAGTGTCTGTGGCGTCCAATTGTGACGCTCCTAGGCTCCTTCAGCGTCATAAAGGGACGCAAATAGCTTTCAACTGATTGCAATGTATTCCCATCTGCGGCGGGATTTGACGCTCATGGAAGCACGGCATTCGTTTGTGTCGGCTGCCCTTAAAGGCAATGTGAGCGTCCATTCCCATTGGATAACGGAGAATTGTACACCCGGAAGTAAGTATTCCTCTTACTGTCGATTGATTTTACAGTGATATCTGCACTACTCATCGACTAAAAAACACCAGATTATCTTTGTTAATTACACAACATTGATTGGTTTAAATTGTGTGCAATGCTTTTGTATTTTTCCCCTTCGATTCGGAGAAACAAATATTTTTTCTGAGTAAAGGATGGCAGAAAACACTACACTACCCAGAATCCCCAGCTATCGTTTGGACTACACCATGTGCTCTGTTTGACAAACCCCGTGATAGTCCTCAAGCTCTGTGATTGGAGAGTGTGCTCCGAGGGTTACGCCGATTCTCGAACAGCACTTGAAATGGGATGGAACCACGTCAGACTGTCCAAAACTGGATTTGAACGGGTCCACCGCGTCCCCCGCTCCCCCACCCCGTCCCCAGAACTACACATGCTGGCTATTCTGTTTCGCAACATGTTCTCTATCTATGGCACGTCTCTACTGGGAGTTGTAGTTTTAAAAGACGTTTTCGTAATTCCCATAATAAGAAGTTGCCAGTATTAAACTGTGTACATCCCTGGAGGTTTAGGGGATAGGAAACACTCAAATGTAAAACATATAATTAATAAATGGGTGAAAATTGCTTGTGCCCATAATGGGCAGCATTAATATATATATATATATACACACATGCCAGCTAAGGTCAGAAGAGCTTTATTTAACAGCTGGTCTTATGTTTTTGACCCCTCCTGTTGTTAATTGATAACATTACATTACATTACATGAATTGATAAGCCTGAAACATGCACTTGTTAAGGTTCAGAGGCACATTTTGCAAATATGGCAGTAGCCATCGATCAGCTTAAGATAAGATATACTTTATTGATCCCAGGTTGGAAACATTTGCGTTACATCAGCATGTGTAACAGTTGTACATATGCAGTGGTGTTTATTTGTAAATCATTTAGTATAATCACACAAATTCTGTGTTTTATATTTAACAATTCTGTGTTCTTTATGTATTGATTGTTCAATACCTGACAAGGCCGGAGATGAAATATCTACATACATCTTATAAGAGTATAATACATTATGTATAATATCAGTTAAAATAAGTGCTTCAACATAGTTAACATTGCTGGAGGTATGCACAAATATTGATAGATGTCTTGTAATGCGCTATTGAGGAACCTGCGACCCAAGTTTTTCATTCAATGCAGAACTACACCATAGTTGTGTAGGCCTATATGATATGTCAATAAACCTTAGAAAATCTTGAAAGGGATGTGCAAAATAGTAATTATATACAGTCTTTAGTGAACTATTAGTAGAGAATAACGAGTAATGAATATACTTTATAGGGATCCTATTAATATCTAATAATAAAAATAATGAAATTCAATAACATGCTTTAACCACTAGGTGTCCCTTTATATCAGCTGTGCACCGTTATGGTGTAAATACAGCCTATCTACCAATTGGATCAAATATAAAAGTCAGCCGAATTAGTGTTGATACTGCAAGGAGACGTATTGTGTGAAAATAAATGTAAGATGTTGTTTAATTGCTGATATATTTATGACCCACGTCACGTTTTCAGTTCCTCATGTTTGTCTAGAAGTCTTCTCATCAGGGCTCTATAAATAGAGAACTACGACAGATATGTAATATTTCATGCAGCCGAACCGTGTATTACAATGCCGTTATGTGATGACTTTCAAAGAGAAAATCAAGCACACTCGGAATAAAGTATTATTTTATTTTTTTTAAATGTTTTCGATCTGTTTCCGGTATTTGTTAATGACGATGTGCTGTGAGATGTGAGACTGGAATTGCACAGGGGGAAATAACGTATTGTAACTGTAGAGGAAACTTCTGTGTAGCTATGCAGTGGGAGTCACCGACTCAGGAAGGAGACACGGGAAGAGCAGTAGCTTTGATGTCAAACACATGATGGTTTATTTGGAGTTATCGGCCGGAGGATTCACATCACAAGTCCAAGAGTCAGAGGTTCTGACTTCACGGTAGAGTTGCCACGTCAATTCTGAAGAACTCTACCCCAGACCCATGTATTTAGCTAGTTCAGAGAGCATCATCAACATGCTGCATAACAAGATAGAATGATAACACCTCTATCAGCTGACGCCAACAGGCAGGAACAGGGAGACAAAACACTGAGAGCACAGCAGCCAAGGTTACAGGTGCCTGTGCTCAATCAGGACAGTTTGAACTGATAAACTGGGTCAAAGTTATGGGCCTTGGAAAATATTCCACAACAGTAACGTTCCCAAGATGAGTCGGAGACAGGCTTGTAGTTATTAGGCTTTAATAACTAGTATTTGAAGACAGATGATAACAGGTCAAGTACACTTCGTGGGTTCTACCGCACACTAACTTATTTCCTAAACCAACCACAAGATATAGCACTGTCTACGTCACAACTCCCCGCCCTCCCCCGTCCGCTCCACCAACCTCAGCCACCAACCTCAGCCACCATCACGGTGCAGCTCTATGATTGGCAGAGAGACGGGGGATGCCTAAGTGACACCCTGAGTAGCCTATCAGGATCGCTACACTACCCCCCCCACTACAAAGTTCCTCGCCCACGAGGAACATATAAAACACAGTACAAAACACTCCCCCCACCCTCTCCAGCTCACTGCAGGGACTACCCCACTGGCTGTCCCCAACCAAACCAGTAGCCTTTGAAAACACAGAAAACCCACCACAATCCCAGCCCTCTATAGTGTCTAACCGCCCACTACAAAATTCCTCGCCTACGAGGAACAACTAAACACAGCCCCACACTACACCTACACACTGAACTTTGACTAGGAAGAGCTGGATGGACTACCATCCCTTCCAGTGAGACCAGGGCGCATTCTTGCCCTCTACAGGAACTGGGGGGTCTCACTATAACCTTACTACCACACAAAGTCTCTGAAACGACCCGGGGGTCGTGTCTGCCTTCTCGGCAGGGGGGCTGGGGTTGCCGGATCTGGCCCAGGCGCCGAAAGACTGGGGGGGACTCTCAGTCCTTGATGGGGGACTGCTGCTCTGTCCGCCGGGGGGTCTGCGGAGGGATGTCGATGGGACGTCTGTGTGTCCCGAGGTTCCTTCGGTCTGTGGGGAAGCGACGCCTCTGTACGGAGCCAGCCTGTCTCTGTGGAGCACCACTTTTCTCCCCTTTGGTGGCAGCTGCACCCTGTAGACCACTTCCCCCACCCTCTCCAGTACTCGGCAAGGACCCACCCACTGACTGTCCAACTTTGGGCACCGGCCTTTCGTTCGTTGTGGGCTGTAGACCCAAACCAGTTCCTCGGCCCGGAAATGCTGCCCTCTGGTCCTGATGTCGTAGTTCCGCTTCTGTCTCACCGCAGCACTTTTCTGCTGCTCGCGGGCAAAGGCATGAGCGGACTCAAGCCGGTCCTGCAGCCTCCTTGCGTACTCAGGACCAGGAGGCGTGTCCAGGGAATCTGGTGGCCGACCAAACGCCAACACCGCAGGGGTTCGAAGCTGTCTCACCAGCATGAGGAGGGCCGGCGAACAGGCTGATGACTCCTGGACTGCAGACCGACATGCCATGAGCACCAGGGGCAGATGCTCGTCCCAGTCGCGCTGATGCCGCGACGTGAGGATGGCCAGCTGCTGTCCCATGGTGCGATGAAATCTCTCTACTAGTCCGTCGCTCTGTGGTCGCAGGGGGGAGGTGCGTGTTTTGTGAATGCCCAGTTGAGCACATGGAGGCGAACACCCGGGACTCGAAATTCCTGTGGTCACTGTGCAGGGTCTCCGGTACTCCAAACCGGCTGAACATGCCGGACACCAAGGCATCCGCGACTGTCTCTGCTTCTTGGTCAGGGAGCGCATACGCCTCTGTCCACTTTGTGAAGTAGTCTATGGCCGTGAGAACGTAGCGGTTACCCCTGTTTGACAAGGGTAGCGGCCCCACCACATCAACCGCTACTCTCTCCATCGGGTCCCCGACGGGAGATTGTTGCAGCAGAGCATGGGAACGCCCCGGGGGGCCCTTCCGTGCCGTACACGGATCACAGCGGCGACAGAAGTCTTCGACATCCCTCCTGCACTGTCCCCAGTATCAGCCCTGACGAAGGCGGCGGAGGGTCTTAGTGACTCCAAAGTGACCAGAGCCTGCCGTGCCATGCATGGCCTTGAGTACGACCTCTTGCAGGACCCTAGGAACCACCACTTGCCACCTCTTCTCCCCCGTTGCTGGCTCCTTCCACGCCCGCTGCAGTACGCCCTGACACAGATGTAGAGACTCAAACTGAGACCACAGCCCCTTTGTTGCTTTGGAGAGCGCTGCCACTTCCTCCCACGGTGGCCGCTGCTGCGACTCAACCCACTGCAGTACAGGCTGAAGAACGGCGTCCAGCTCTTGCTGTTGCTTCCACTCTGACGCATCCACTGTCTGGAGCTCCCTGCAGATAGCCTCCTCCAATTGCTGCGCTGCCGCACAGACGATGTCCTCCTCCAGCAGCTCCTTTTCGCGAGTCTCTGTCTTCTCGCAGTAGTGGCATCCGCCGCCGGCACACGGCCGCCGGGAGAGGGCGTCTGCATTGATGTGGCGCACCCCAGCCCGGTGCTCCACCCTGAAGTCGAACGATTGGAGCTCTTCTAGCCACCTGGCGACCTGCCCTTCTGGCTCTTTGAACATCATGAGCCACTGTAATGCAGAGTGATCCGTCCTCACCGTGAACGCTTGCCCGCACAGGTAGTACTTAAAATGCTTGATGGACAGCACCACTGCCAAAAGTTCTCTGCGGGTAACGCAGTATCGTCGCTCCGCTTTGTTGAACGCCCGGCTGAAGTATGCCACCACCCGCTCCCCCTCTGGTGTAGTCTGGGATAGCACTCCGCCTACCCCAACGTCGCTAGCGTCGGTGTCCAGGGTGAACGGCAGCCGGGGGATGGCTGGGACGAGAACCGGGGCTTTGCTCAGGGCACGCCGAAGGCCGTCAAACGCTGCTTGACATTGTTCAGACCACAGGAACTCCCTGTCCTTCTGCAGCAGCTGGAACAGGGGTGCGGCAATGCAGGCAAAACCCCGTACAAACTTCCTGTAGTACGAGGCCAGGCCCAGGAAACTCTTCAGCTGTTTCTGGTTGCGAGGATTTGTCCAGCCTGTGACCGCCTGCACTTTCTCGTGCAGGGTGCCGATGCCCTCCCCCCCCACTTTGTGGCCCAGGAAGGTGACCTCTCTCTGTAGGAAATGGCACTTATCTGGATGTAGCTTCAACCCAGCGGCTCTGATCGTCTCCAGCACCACTTTTAGCGATCCTAGGGCCGCCTCAAACGAGCTGCCATGCACCAGGATGTCGTCCAGGTAAACCAAACACTGTTGGCAGGGAATCCCAGACAGCACCCTGTCCATCAACCGCACGAAGGTGGCCGGGGCATTACACAGCCCAAAACTGAGGACCTTGAACTGCCATAGTCCTCGGCCGGTGCAGAAAGCCGTTTTTGGTCTGGCCTCCGGGGCAAGAGGGACTTGGTAATACCCGCTGCGGAGGTCCAAGGAAGAGAACCACGACGACCCTGCGACCAGGTCCAGGGACTCATCGATGCGGGGAAGGGGGTATGAATCCTTCTTGGTGATCCCGTTCACCGGTCTGTAGTCTGAGCACAGCCGCCAGCCCCCTGTCTTCTGCGGGACCATGACTACCGGTGCTGCCCGTGGGCTGTCTGAGGGCTCGATGATGTCTGCCTGCAGCATGCTCTGCACTGCCTCGTCGCAAGCCTGCTGACGAGCCAGGGGGAGTCGGCGCGGGCGACACCTGATGGGCCGCGAGTCCCCCGTATCGATCTCGTGTTCCACAAGCTGCGTTCGGCCCACCTCCTCCTCATTCATGGCGAAACTGCTCTGGAACTCTAGCAGGAGCTGCCCCAATTGCTCCTGCTGCTCGGGATTCAGGCCGCCACAGTTCTTCCTCCACACCTCCAATACTGCAGACCGAGCCTCTTCTACCTCCGTCTGGGGTACTTGGGGGGGGGGCTGTGCTCGGGTGGCGCAGCCCGGGGGTGACAGGTGGGGAATTGTCCTGAGTGGGCGTCACCGTGGGTACAGGAAGCGAGGGAGGGTTTGCTTCCGTGTCTAGGGTACTCACGGTGGGTGTCGGGGGTCTCCCCGCAGGCTCAGCAGGGTTGTGGACACGGGTCATAGTAATTACAGGCCCCCCCCCGAAACTCACTGTGCCGGCTTGAAGATCCAGGAGGCAGCCCGTCGCCTTCAGAAAGTCCAAACCCAGAATGCAAGGGTCCTGTACATCCGCTATCCACACAGGGTGCCGCACTTCCACTCCCCCCACGACACAGACAGCACTCCTCTTCCTTTCATAGCTGCCAACTCTCCGGTGACTGTGCGCAGACGCACCGCTGTCGGCTCGAACATAGTCCCACTGGGCAACACCTCTGCTCTCACCAGGGTTACTGTAGAGCCTGTGTCCACCAGTGCATCGCAGGGCACCCCCTCCAAACCGCCTCTTCAAAGCCCCCGCTAACGCTTCATAGTTGAGTCGGTCCACAGGGCTAAGTAGTAGCAGACATGAAAGAGCCTCTTCTGTGAGGCACAAAGCTAGCTGTAGTGCTTTAGTCTCTACTGACCACCCCCCGGCATGAGCAAGCAGTTCAAATTGGGCATGGAAAGCCTCCCAGTCTGCCTTACCCGAGAATTTGGGTGTTTTCACTGACCCGGCGGCGGCTGCTGCGGGTTGATGGGCGCCGCCATTGTTGTTTACCTCCAGCTTGGAAATGGCGCAAACTGCCGCAGAAGACGGAGACATTCCCGCGTCTCTAGCCATCCTCACTGCCGACTCTCTCAGGCGCTCTCTCACCTCCCATGCACTCATGAACTCCTCTCTTCCTCTCCTCTCTCCTCTCCTCTCTTATGTCCTTCGACCACTCCATCTTCCTCTTCATCACTACTGTGTTCCTGCTTCACTCCCATCTTGCTGAACTTATCCATCCCCACTAGCTTACCGGCTAGCTCCGTGATGCAGTTACGACTCTCGTCCGGATAGACGTCCCTTGTTCGAAAAGTTCACTTCTGACACCAATGTAACGTTCCCAAGATGAGTCGGAGACAGGCTTGTAGTTATTAGGCTTTAATAACTAGTATTTGAAGACAGATGATAACAGGTCAAGTACACTTCGTGGGTTCTACCGCACACTAACTTATTTCCTAAACCAACCACAAGATATAGCACTGTCTAAGTCACAACTCCCCGGCCTCCCCCGTCCCCTCCACCAACCACAGGCCCGCACCTCAGCCACCATCACGGTGCAGCTCTATGATTGGCAGAGAGACGGGGGATGCCTAAGTGACACCCTGAGTAGCCTATCAGGATCGCTACAGTATCTTTAGATGCGGATTTTGTTAAACTAATATGTTTGCACTGTGGATCAACACTATACATTGACGGGGAAGGGGGTAGCAATAAAGATAACACCATTAAACAGTTACACAACATAACAGAAATAATATCGATAGCAGCGTCCCTAGCAACCACCTTGGTAACAATGAAAACGTCGCGATTTCCTGAAGTAATCTTCGTAATAATTAGCAAACTAAAGATCATGTACATCCACTGCACACATAATCTGAAATAACAACTCATATTTCTCGCATCAAATGACATCAAAACGCATTTTAATGGCCAAACTAACTTTAAAATAGGCATTTTCCACCGAGAATAAAACGAAGTTCGGCCATGTTTTCTTTTTCTGCAGGGAGAAATTTGAACATCACGTGACATAGACGCCAGCCATTGGAATGAATGGTGAAAAAAAACGGGTTTGTCAAACAGAGCACATGGTGTAGTCCAAACGATAGCTGGGGATTCTGGGTAGTGTAGTGTCTTCTGCCATCCTTTACTCCGAAAAAATATTTGTTTCTCCGAATCGAAGGGGAAAAATACAAAAGCATTGCACACAATTTAAACCAATCAATGTTGTGTAATTAACAAGGATAATCTGGTGTTTTTTAGTCGATGAGTAGTGCAGATATCACTGTAAAATCAATCGACAGTAAGGGGAATACTTACTTCCGTGTGTACAATTCTCCGTTATCCAATGGGAATGGACGCTCACATTGCCTTTAAGGGCAGCCAACACAAACGAATGCCGTGCTTCCATGAGCGTCAAATCCCGCCTCATATGGGAATACATTGCAATCAGTTGAAAGCTATTTGCGTCCCTTTATGACGCTGAAGGAGCCTAGGAGCGTCACAACTGGACGCCACGGACACTGACCAAACGTCGCTCCTGGACGCTTAGGGAGTGAGAGTGTGTTGAACTGGCACACCCTGAACAGTCTGGTGGGTCATGGTCCTTGTCATTTGCTTTTGTGTTCCCATAACAACATGTCCAAGATGTCCATATGCCAGGCTAACACATGTGACAGAACTAGCTACATTTGGAAAGGTTTTTTGTTGCTAAAGTTAACATTCAAGCCATTTAAGAATAAAAATGCTTACATGACATACCATTTGTTAAACATTAAGCTGTCTTCGGCTCTTTTCGGCTGTAACAAATTGAAATGTCCCCTCTGTGGGACGAATAAAGGTATTCTGATTCTGATTACATTTATCCTGTTGTGGAAACATTTCTTGATTAAATTGATATGAAACAAATGCCATAAATATTGCTGTGACACTGATGTCACATCGGGACATTAACCCTAAACATTCACAGTAAACCCGGAGTGACATATATGCACAATTAGAAATAAGATTATGATCTGCTCAGTTAATTTAGCTGATTCAATTATATTTAGTTAACATATTCTTTATTATTCAATTCAAAGTATGTTCAAACAAATGTAAACCAAAAAATCATCCTCATTAATAAATAATAAATAAATAAGAGTTACTTTACCATTAAAGCCCAATGTGACCTATATGTCACATTTCAGATATTTGACACTAGGGGGGGTTACTTGTCAGAAATGTGTTCTAGGTCTATTTAGGTCTATTTAGTCTAAATGACGTTCCCCTTAATTTCCCCAAAAGTATAAATGGGTCCGGGTTCTTATGGGTTAAACGTATAGGCTTAAAGGCATAATAGAACTACTGTATTATATGTATTCAACTTATGCCCGGTGTCTTGTTTGTTTCTCCGAATGGTCGTGCCAAGCCTCAGCTCAGACCCAGAACCTGGGGGGCGCGTGAAGCTTGGGAATAAGTTGTAAACAAACATTGTTTGCTCATAAAATCAATATAATTGACACATTTTTAACACAACCAGCAGTTAAAAGAAAAGTGGCCTTTCAGCTATAATGCCCACATCAACAAAGTATGATGAGGCATATATCTCCCTTGACATCTAACGTGTTCAGTGCGGAGATCTCTCTTTCTCTTTCTCTCTCTCTCGTCTGGGGAGGCTGTGGCTCAGTGGATAGTGTGATGGACTTCAGGGGATAGCAAGTTCGAGTCCCACTGCAGTCAGCATGTCGTTGTGTCCCTGGGCAAGACACTTCACCCCAAATTGCTCCTGTGGGGATTGGCCACAGTACTGAATGTATGTAAGTCGCTTTGGATAAAAGCGTCTAACAAATGACATGTAATGTAATGTAATGTCTGTGTTGGGGGCTGGGCATCTCGCTCAGACTCGCTGCAACACCGTGCACACAGAGATCGGCCGGTGGAGAACACGTTCAAAAGTTACAATCTAATCTACGGTGCTCGATGTGGTCAATGCTCATTTCGCGGAATGTGACGACCCCTGCTTTGCTATCTCCTGTTGTGTGTGTGTGGCCCTTTAATGTTCTCCCTTTGTCTGTCAGCATTGATTGAGGACACCTGGCTGCTGGTACCGGAGGGTTAAAAGGCCTGAGGCAGACTCTCGATGACTCTCTCCGCGGAGGACCTGTTTTGGGAGAGCAGCCTTTTCGTTTATGCTTTTGCCTTGCCTTTATGTTAGTTTTGTTTAACGTTGGGTTGTGGTTAATACATATATTTTCATATATCTTGTCCTTTCCACGCTTTTGTTATGGCCAAGAGCCAGGTCATGACAGGAAACACGAGCAATCTGTCCATCAGCTGGCCAAAAGGCATCATTCATATGGAGAAATGCACTGTTTTCAACGTCCTTAACTCGGAGTTCTGTTCTGGAGAAGTACTCAGATCAAGTACTTAAGTAAAAGTAGTATACTGCAGGGTAGCTTGTGAATTTACTCCAGGTGTAACTAAAGTCTGATTTAAGAGTTCATTATATTTCACATCATTAATCCAGATCTGTGAAGTAACTAAAGGTATTAAATACATGTAGTGGAGTACAAGTACACCATTTACCTCTGGACTGTAGAGGAGCAGAATTACAAAGAAGCAAAAGTGGAAATACTTAAGTACCTCAAAATAAGTACAGTACTTGAGTACATCTACTTACTACCACCACTGCAGGTATTTTATGTCTGCTAGCAGCCCATAATCCACACTATACCTACATTGAATCAATATGAATTCTGTTTCGTTTCGTTTTTCCCCTAAAAAATAACCTATACAAATACTGTTAAAGAACCGGATCGATAAGCAGTATTTGTAATTGTTTCAATTAGGCCTTATTA